TCACAGCCCCTCGTTTGTTGTCCTCTTCTCCCTCTCTGCCTACGGTTTACCGGGCAGTTCTATTTGACGATATATATATCGTCAATATATATATATACCCCCTCCCCTACGAACATAGCAGACTCTGCTTGATGCCGATCGGGGGATCCAGTGGTCTATATCTTGGGTAGCGGGTGCCAAGTAAGCCCAGGAAGGCATGAGGCCAATGGGGATTGAACCCATGACCTCCTGAATGCCACTTGCGAGCCTTACCAACTGAGCTAGGCCGCTCACATTACTGGTGTGAATATATGTCCATGTAACAACTTCTGAGAGAAGCGCTCTTCTTCCTCAGCATTAGCTGCAAGCAATCAGTGCACTGGAAGCCGTACGTGCTGTGTAGAAAATATCGTGAGCAGAGCAATCTTCAGGAGTCAGTTGACCTTGCACGTATTTTTGTCTTTGAGATGCAAAATGGCACCATCAGCAAATTATCAAGGAGGGAGTTGCAATCAGACTAGTGCAATGACTTGCTGATTCTGACTGCCGATACTGACTGCGAGGCTGTACATTAACAGCGGTAGGTTAGATTCGTAATTTTGTTTGGCTGAGGGCTAACCGAGAGACCTACCTGTAAGGAAATTCGTGAGGGACATATCTGCAAATATGGGAAAATACAGGCCGAGCACTAACCCGAATTCCTACAGCTACCCTAACTGCCTATAGCAGGCCCGGGCTACCCCTAGGACAGACAGGCCCTAAGGGCCTAATCTGATAGACGGTCCTATAGCCTATAGCCAGGTCCGGTAGAGGCGGAGAGGCCGAAACAGCAACGGTACCGGTCGGTCAGTCAGTCCGGTCTAGGTCTAGCGTAGTCTATAGATAGGTTAGGCCCATCGGTTCAGGACTTTTGGCAGTTCATTTCTCACGAAGCAGCGTTGGAGAAGCCAAGCAAGTTGGTGGCGGTGACTGTCTGCAGGCGGCATCCTGAGACCTCGCCGTTGACAGCAACCATAGCCGGCCCAGTCTGAGTCTGCCATAGCTGTGGCATCCTCAGCACATCTACCCCTGGGGTATCTGCGTCTGGCTGGGCTACATTGAGGCTCTATACTGTGTACTCGTGGGTGGTGGCAGCCATAGCTGCCTGATACTTCGTCAGAGTTGTCCATCGGTACCGAAGGCCTCATGTTCTTCATCAGGGTGGTTGGCGCTGGCCTCTGGGAGGCCATTCTGATGCGGCGCTACTAACTGGGTGTAGGATAGAGAGTGGGGTGTGAGTTCTGAGAGTGGCGAGATACTGGAACAAACTCTGTTACGATAATTGTTTGAGTTGGCTCATCATCAGTGCAATTTCAATTGTTATCCTCGCAGGTTCTACTTGTGATTGGTTGTTGGGAGTTTGTCAGAGAGAGAGAAACACTGTGTGTCTTCTCCCCATCTGTGCATAGCTGTATTCCGCTGCCGACTTTGATCTGTGTGCAGTTTGGACTCTGTCTCCTCTCCCCCTTCTCTTATGCATGTATGGGCGTGTATGAGATTCTGTGTGTGAGTGGCGATAAAATTCATCAGACAACCAAGATCATAACACTAGTCTCAACTCGCGTCAGCGTGCATGCAAACAGATGACGAACAAAGTTGGCGCTCGGCGCCCACACAAAGCTCAGAGATAAAACGTGGCCAGGAACACAGCTCAGATTCAAACTTGTCGTGATTGGCTGTGGCTCATAGCGCCAGACAATGATTCTCACCCGATCAACTGTATTCACCAGCAACTTATTCGCACACACACGCACACATTCTAGGATCACCCTGAATGTTCCACACACTCACACACTCTGCACACACACACTCCCTACGCTATCCTATGTGGCAGCTATGGCTGCCGCCTCCCTCCTATGCTAGGGGGGCAAGGGCAAATTCATGCACACACGCAACACGTGAGCGGACAGTCACACAGAGCGGAGAACAGCAGAAACCCGTTTGGCGGGATGTCATATTGGAAGAATTCACATCATAGACGTCTCATCCCTTTGCCTACACCCTCCTTCCACATGCCGTCTCCCTCCTATGCTAGCTTGCGGCTATGGCCGTGTCTTCCTCCTCTTAGCTCTCTTCTTCCTCGGGCACCTGCAGACCTCTGTAGCACAAGACTCTCCGACAGCGCTTCCACACAGCTCACAGGCAGAATGAATCCATGACTTGATGCTGTCTCTTAATTTTATACTTTGGATCGTCGTTGGTCTGCCCTTGTACCCTGGGCCCGGGTGTACACAGTCCCAAATGGTACTTGCTGCAACCGGGACTGGGTACTGCTGACTGGACTAGGTAGGACTGGGACTGCCCTTTGCTGACTGTACTAGGACTGCCCCCTTGCTGACTCAGCTGCGGACTGACCCTTACGACCTACGAAGAGCCAGTTCTAGAGCTTCTAGAAGGTCGTGGACTTGACTTTTCGGAACTGTAGCAGATACAACTGTACTAACCCTATGACTTCCTAATCTTAGGTCTACGGGTCGAAACC